CAGTAATAAAATGCTTGTTTCCTATAGCACTGGTGCTAAAACGTACAAAATTAAAACCAAATTTTTATTTATTGGATGCTTACAATTAAGCATGCATTACTTGATATCACAGCATTTCTAATTTTATGCGTCTTCTTAGGAACAACTACTTCATAAATAGGCTCCTAATAACCCTTGCACATTTATGGTGGCAAGTTGCATGTATCGTAGGAATAAAATGTCATGCAGGCCTTAAAATTTGTGATCTGTTGCTTGGAGAAATAGTTAATAACGTTCTCTTCCAGTAAAGTCATAATTTTAATCTGTTTAAGGCAAGTTTTTAAAGTAAACTGCCACTAAGCAAAATCGAATGCCTCCAGTGTAGTACTTTCCCTATTGATATACATTGGAGTCCATAATTTAGTAGCCTAAAATGGACACTATGTTACCAGAAGTCCTAAAAGACCATCGATAACTTATGGAAGTATTTCAGTAAAATACCTGGTTTTAATTTAGTAGCTTCAGCAACTTTAACCAATTCTTTTGTAGAACATACGAGGTGGCTAGCACATTTTTCCCTCCTACAAAAGAGTTTTGAACAAGATAAAACTCCAAATCTAGGAGGATTACAGGGTGGAGCCAGCCAATTGGATGACTGGCACCGATTGCTTTGTGAAGGCCGACGAGTGAGGGTCGGTTGACGAGAGCGCCGAGGACGACGCTTAAGAAAGAGAAACTAGTCAATAGTTTGTTTGGTAAAATTTTCGTTTGGGATTTTGCGGACAATTAAGGCCAATAGCCCTCATAAATGGAAAAAGGCCATATTAACTAAAAAAGAAAATTTATATAAAGAATTTATTTGGTCCGTTTTCTTGTTTTTGTATGAAGCAAAAAGACGGCATCGCCATACCATTATCAGCCGTTGTTTTAATAAATCGGTTATTTTGCCTGTTTGATGTCATAAATCCGAAATTGCTTCGCACTAATTTACACTAATTTACAGTACAATTGTTACATTTAAAATATCGCTAGCTTTCTCGTCACTTGCTACCTTAAAGATCTTATTTGTGTAGTATTATACATGCTTATCATAAAAGCTTTTGAAAAAGATTGTGTTTCTGAGTGAAACTGATTTTGCTCGAATAAACTCACTCAAAAGAGATGCTAATCATACAATTAACGAATCACTACAATTGCGTTGCTCCAATAAAATCAATCACTGCGTTCTGAAACAACAATACTGTTATGGAAATATTCATTGCTTGGACACAGCGGTCATTAGGTTTTGTAAAATTTTCTGTAATTTAACAGAGTAAGTCATTATTGTCAACATTTGAAAAGCGGTTATCGGGTTTATACATGGAAATTGAACCAAAAGTTGCAAAACAATTTGGCGAAGGCGTTATATTGCTTTCACATCGTTTATTTTGGGCAGTGAAGACAAACGCTGGCATAAAATCACAATTGCGATGGAAGGCGGCAATTATTTTTTGTGCAGCGCAAATTCAAAATAAGATGATGTTTACATCCTGCCCGTCTTCTCTAAGCATCAAAGCACTTTCGGCTAAAATAACTTTCGCATATTTCGTGAGGCATATTGCGTTGACAGTTTTTCGGAAATGAATGAGGCTTGACTTAAAAAAGACCTAAGGGAGCTCTTTTTGATGCGGCAGAGGGGATGTCTCAGTCATAAAAAGATACACATAATCAAATCAACTTAGTCACCAGTTCAAATCTGTACTTTATTCCAACACAGGCATAATAGCAGGCTCTAATTAGATTTGCACTAGAAATTAGTACCTATTCTTTTTAAAAAAACCCACTGAAAATGGCAAGACTGCCTAATTCATTCTAAATGCCGACGAAATCGGCTTCACTGCTAGCTAGAGAACTAAGTCATAATGTTTTAACCTTTAAATATCTTTAAGGCAGGTAAGTGCGTGCAAAATGATGGCGCAAACAATTGGCCTTTTTCTGGGGCGAAGTTACAAGTCGTGTCCATTTAAATGGAAAAATTCATCAATCCGATGATTTGAAGAGTAGAGTCATCCATTCTTTAATTTTAACATCTCAGTCGCGACAAAGAGATGATGAAATTTATTGGTGAGTAGAGGGACCTATGATAGATGGTAAGATAGCCATCGGCCAAAAAACTAGATAAATGTGCAGCCTATTAGATAGGTGGATAGATGGAGAAATATGTGGAGGATAGGTAAATGCAAAGATAGTTAAATGATGTAATAGTAGGTGGATGGGCAGGTTACGAGATAACTAGGCAGATATATGGATGCAATATACAGAGGTAGATGGTTAGATAGCAGACAACTATGAATAAAAGTGCAAGAATCATTTATCATTTATAAGCTGAAGTTAAAGAGAAGTTAAAGTTCCTTTTCCCGGCTTCTTACTATTTTGATGCAGTCACTTTTGTTAAAATTTTTGAAATGCGCATACAGTGTACCGAGATAAGCTTCTTAAATAATTAAAAATAGCATTTTGATCTTGTATAGAGGCAACTCAACCCAAGGTGAGCAATTAATCAAAATTATAACTTAAATTGAGTCAGAATAGCCGATCCAAACCAAAAAGTCTCTGTCAAAATATCCAAATTCCTTAGATTGCCTGAGTACTGTAAAATCATTCCAAAGCTTTCTTGATAAACCCTTTATTATCCACAGGTAATAAGGAGTTAGTGGGTCAAGTGCACAGCTTATTGGCCTCATAGTGAATGTGGCAAAGAGTCCTGTGTTAAAAAAGCACCGCCTGGCATTGTTAAGAAAAGTGGGCAAAGACTGTTAACTTTAGAGTTACTGCCGGTGATTTGAAAGCATTGAACACAAGTCACAATTTGCCGAGATTAGCATAAAGCCATTTTGTGGCTCCCAGTCTTGACTCGAATCTTGAAGTTTGGATTTACAACAATGCCCGTAATTACAAAAGGAATAGTGTTTTTAAATATTTTAATTAGAAGACATTAGAATCTTGCAAATGTTTTGTTAAAACTTGATTGCGCATACAAAGTTTAGATTAATGGGTTAAGGATAACATTAATGATTCACGATAACTCGGCAAAAATGACCTGATCAAATAACTGTTATTACTTTCTTTGCTTACGGTGCCCTGGATTGTAAAATTGGCACGTACTTCTCCAGTCTGAAGCAAATGGTTGTTCTCTGATGTCTGTAAGATAATTTTACTCATGCCACTGAGAAAAAGCCACACTTAAGTTAAACGCTGAAACTGCTTTCACGCAGCAGAACTCATTAAAGAGGTTTTATTGCAGGGCGATTAAAAGTGTGAAGTTTGCTGACGGATCTAGCCTGAGCAGCAACACTGCACCCCACTATTACGGAGAATGAAAGTCTCTAACAACAGAAACACGTTTCGCAATTTGATACATAACAAGACTCATTTAAACACCGTGACATCGTTTTATGCCATTTTTAATGATGACTTTTGGCGATTTTGAGATAGCTCATAACACCCACAAAACAACTGACTTTGGGGTCGTAAATGGTTTGTATAAAGATAAAAAGCAGTTTCTTACACGGTTTTGAGCATATAAATGTGCAGCTGTAGTTTTATAGGTAGAATTATGAATAAGAGATACAGCCTATTAACCATGTGGATCAAATGCCAGAAATGCTCCAGAAAATCCAACCACTTACTGTTGCAATAAAAAAATTTTGTAATTAAGCTTGTAAATCCTATCAAACAAGACTATGCTAGTAAAACGCAGTCAAAATATCAGAACTTTGACTTTAAAAATAATTTAAATGTTGAATTTTTATTTATGATACGTGGAATGTTCCCTTTCACTTGTGAAGTATTGCTGATTCTAACTTGAGAATTGTATTTACACGTCGATACTACAGGAACAAAGTTCTTAAAAATTCACTAATTTTTCTTTTAAGACTTGTTTGCTTCAAAAAATTGCAAAAGTAACAAGGATCAAGGAGTCATTTTTACCCTTCCAGTTTTAGGCATTTTACAAGCACCACCAGTAATCTCACAAAAACCTTATGTTCCATTCCTAAAAGTGCGTCCAAAACTTTTCAAAAACAACCAAAAACATTTGAGCCTCATTATATTTTATGTGAATTATGCAATTAAAACCCTTATTGTGCACCTATTGCTGCTAGGCACTTACAATCCCAAAATCATTAGGAGCCACCTCTTCAATCCTTGCCACCCTTAATAGACCCATCATTAATTTTTCCAGTTTGTTGATCACTCCTTTAAAGACGAGGTATTTACTGGTTCCTTCAACCTGATTTTAAGGCGTTGCCTCCTACAGAGCCCAGACTGTTTCATTCCATTGCAAACAAACATAGGTTAATAAAGTTGGAGAATTTAACTCTATAACTGATTTTGGAGGATTTTTTTCTTCAACTTAGCCAAAAGTCCAAGGCTAGTTTCCCCTACTGTAACACTATAATGATAATTTAAATACGCAATTAAGTGGCAGTTACGGGATGAAAGCCATTTGCTCTGTTAAATTGCCAAAGGAATATAAAACTACAATTAAAATATGGTACCTACAATCCTGGTAAAACGGTGTATAAGGTAGGGCAAAACTAATCCTAAATGTGATATACCCATTCAATCATGCAGACAAACATAAAGTGATAGGGTTGAGTTTTACTGATGGAACAGTTACGCAAAATATTACGGCATCACTTATAGAGGTATGCAAGATTTTCTTTTAAACATAAGCCGCTCTTTTTAGCTATTCCGTACTCGAAAACTCTGTACATAGCACAAGTTTATGCTTTATTTTGATATACCTTCTGGTAGAGTGATAAATCGTATTGAAATCAACATACAATGTTCCGAATGGATAACAAAGAGAGGTGCTCATTTTTCGGCGGATAACTTTTGAATAGAAGCAGATTTTGGGGATTTGTCTACAAACGAGAGTAAAAATAACCAGGTTAAGAATGCTGGAAAGGTATCTGACCACAAGTCCAAACGCAGCCCCTGCAAAAAGCTGTAATGAGTTAAGGCACATTTAACTACGAGTCAGCTCTACCATGTGTAGAATAAGCTTTCCGTTAATTTCTTCCGTGGTGGCAAATCTCTTACTTTGGATAGTACTTTAAAGCTCTTCTTGAGCTTGAATTTGCATGGACTAGGCACCATGCTGAAAGCAAAGCATATTGTTAAGAAGAAAACCAGTGGTGCTGGTAATTTGATGCACAAAGAAACTGATGTAGATTTTAGCTGTGTAGAAAACACTACAATAAGCTCATTGCCTTACTCTTCCGCCTTATCCTTCGTGTGCTTGTAATGAAAACAGTGACTTCACTGAGCAGTGGTGATTAGAGGGGTGTCGCGGTTAAGCGTGCCCAGGGCAAGTTATATCCGTCACAAGGTTTGTATTTAATAAGCGTCTCTTGCTTTAAAGATAAAACCAATCAACCATATTTTATAGCACTGTATCTATCGAAATCGTCTCCTATTTTATGCCAGATTTGGGTAATTTCATGGCTACCGAAGATATGAGTGAACCTGCACAAAATTAATTCAACTTTACACTTACTTGGTTGGAAAATTTTTCTATGCCAAAAATGAAGTAGAAGCCTGTCTGTAGGGCATTTATCTATGAAGTCAACTGCGTCAAGACAACTTTGGATCTTGCTGTTCATACCAGATTTATATTACATTAAATAAATACAGTTACTTTGGGAAATTGTTAGACAAAACTTGTTGTTGCGTTTAAAAATACCTGTAAAACATTTGGGAGTATCTTACGATCTTTACATCAGATGAAAATGTCACTCAAGTTTTTTTTAAATAAAACCACTAAAACCCTATGGCATTAATCGAAATCCTAAAAGACGCTTTTAGAGTGAGACATTTCCTCTTTATTAATTCACATTTGAAGCACGTAATGATCAAATTCAGGTATTTATAGTAGAAAAAATTAACATTTAAATGGAGATAAAAAGTTTGATTCGTTAAAAATTTAATAAGTAGTATTCATGAACCAGAACATGTAAAAAAATTGGGAGCTTTTGGATGAAATTAATAGTAAAACTATTATGAGCTGTTTGCAATTTAGTGTCATAGGTATCTCAAGGAAACAACAGATACCATGTTCAACGATAAAAGTTGGTGGTTTCAGATCCACTGGATGCAGAGGACAACAAGTTGGTAAGTTCTGGCTATCTGATTTTTTGGTTTTACTACTCTAAGCTGTCCTTTGGTGCATAAAAGTCCAACGGAGTGTAGATAATTGAAAGCACCTGTTTTGACCATCATAATTTGAAATTCCGAATTGCGATAAAGCTACAGGAGGTAAAAGTAGAAGGAATTTTTGACTAGTTGTGTTGCAGAAATTTTGAAGTTTATGTTCCTGCCTTGCCCTAACAACAACTAAAGCAGTGCAATTTAGTTTAAAGTGAAGGACAGCTTTGATTTCATGAAGCTGATGGTACCTAAAGCATGTTGTAATTTCTAAGCACTCAGCCTTTTACATGATTACGGTTAAACAGAAATCTGAGTAAAATCAAATTATCTGATGCACTTAAACACGAGCATCCCATATGATTCTTTTCCTTAAGAGTAAAATAGGGGCTTCCAGCTTGAATTCCATCTCTGATTACTAAAAATTAACTTTTACTGTAAGCAAGGGAGGGCCTACTTCCACTAATTTTTGAAGGGTAAAAATTAAAAGATTACATAGAGAAATCAGAAGCCTGCCAGGCTTAACAGGTTTGATTGGAACCGACCAAACAGTTCTTTTTTTAGGTAGGAATTGATTATTACTGCAAAAAATGGCCAATAAACTAAATGTTTATCAGGTTTGTTAAGCTTCTTAAATCTCTTTTTGGAACCTGCTTACCAACTCAAGAAATTATAAGCAAACTAGGAACTTAAACGTGCTTCCATTAAGTTGATAACCATTGTCTGGTCTCCAGTGCTTTTGGGTAAGTGTATTTCATTGTTGTTTAGCATCGAATGATTTATGCAGGAGAATAGGAATTTGCAACGTGCAAGTATCATCTCACATCATTTCCGTTATATGGTTGCAGTTAATGTCTAGGAGCGAATGTAGTCCAAGAGAGTTCCCAATGGGTAATAACGAACTGTTACCTACTTTCGAGCAATTAGTCATGAGAATGAGAAGATCTAATATCTGTTTTCCCAAGAAAAGTCTTCTTTAGTACGATAATGGCCATATTCTAGTCAGCCTCTTCCGTTTCAATTAGCAGGAAAGTAGATGAGTGAAAGATAGCAGTGTTTTCACATGTTTTGTTAGTTTTTCCTCTTCAAGTTACTTATATTCCATCTTTCTGACAGCGTAAAAGACATATTCTCATTTGCCCAAATTCAACCAAGAATTCATATTCATATTTCCTGATTGAAATTACCAACAACTAAATCTTTCACTCGCCATAACTTTGGAACTAAGCGTTGCTTATTAGCACTATTTGTTATTTACTAGTATTTGACTTAGATTTTGCAATTATGACTGTCCAACGGAGATTTTATTTTAAGATTAGTATGCTCTCTTTTTCGACTTTGTAGCCTAAATATCTCCTATAAAAACACATTCCCTTTTTTAATAACATCAGACAGCATGCCCTGAGTCAGTCATAAAGTCCACGAATAGAAGAGTCAGTCATAGCAAGATAACTTCCCTACCATATACTTGTAAACGTAGCCTGATTTATGCCCTTCTCATATCAGTTTCGTAGCAAAATGATCAACCATTATTTGTATTGCAAAAGAAAGGAGTGTGGGACAAAACTTTTAAAAGTTTAAACAAAATGAACAATGTTGATGCTAAGCTTTCACCCATATCTGCTTTTAATTGAATATGAACCAGAGACTGTTGGTATTTGACCTTGTTGCATTTCCTTTTAGGTGGAATTTTTAATTTTCTTACGTTTACGCACTCAGTCACTTTGAACTAATAGGCTCGACCCCCAAATTTGCTGCATTTTTTAAATTTTTTTGGAAAAAATAAGGATTTTTTGATAAGATTCCTACTAATGTTGGTCTAATTTAAAGAATGGCATTTTCAAGGCATTTGTTGAACTTGTATTTGCGTGCAAGGCAGAGTTAAAAACTAATTTTTGCCTCCTATGAGCTTATCAAAATTTTTGAGCTAAAGCATTAATACTCACTTAAATTTAGAAGTACCACAGGCTCCTACATTGAACAGTGCGCTACGGCTACTGATGGCAGTGCTCATAGACCTTCATGAATTTTCTATTTGTACGAGTGCTTATAAGATAATTTCAAACGAAAAATTCGTAAAAAAGTGCTTTTTAACATTTGTAAGTGGATTAGGCCACTGGCGATATTAACATTGTGCATGGTATAACATTTCACTGATCTAGGAATCACATGAGCCTCAACCTGATGCAATTTTAATGATTCTAGGATAACCATGAAAAGTACTGCACTGCTTTAATTGCTCCTACACTGATGACAATTTCTTCTGACTTCCTGGCATTGGGCAAATTTGTAGCGTTTTTAAACCTTATTAACGTTTCCTCAATTTGCCATCCTCTATTAGAATGTGCATATTTGAACCATATAAAAGATGTTTGTGATTAAGCTGAAATCAGCTTGGAATCATTATAGGTCTTTGAAGCATCATTGAATTGCTGTTCATCTGGATAAAATTGAGGTGGATTATTTTCATAGACTTAAGCAGCACCTACGTCTTGTGTGTTAAGTATAAGCGAATTCAGGAGCCCGTCATGGCCGGATAGTAATCGGTAAACAAGCCCATAAAAGCCTTTCACATTTCTTTTAAATCTTTTAGCCTAGGCTGATATGTGGCGGACATATTTTTTTTCGTCCTTTTTCAAAAGCAAAGAGTAGGCATAGTCATGCACTCGCGATTTCCACTTGTTTATCGTAAGTCTGTAGCACAACAAGTTTCTAACCTACTTGACAAGTTTTATTTAAATGTAGTTTGATATGCACATTATTTTATCTTGTAAAATTGTCACAGAATGTACTTGCTTAATTTGGGAGTCACTAGAGGCCAAGCATTTGAATAATGCAAGTGGAGAAACTTAATGTGAACATTTTCTTTAGCCTCATTCCTTAATTGCATAAGACGGAAGAGGATATTGAAAACATGGCAGAGG